GCACTTGTCATCTCACTTATAAACTGGGGAATGGATGCCTCATGCAATAATAATAAGAGATTAAAGTAGCGCCAGACGCCTGCATGTGTACAATATGGAGGACAAGAATCACTTTTACTTCAGGATTTTTGAACTCCCTAATCCTAAGTATTCAAATTCAGGGCATAACTTTTCCTAAACTATTTGAACTACAGCAAGTATTATACCTCTAATCGTGTGGCTTGTTGAGGAGAGGTGAGCCATTACATTTCTTAGAAAGATAAAACCGTTGAATAAATTAAACTAAAGGAGAATTTCATAAGCTTGCATGTACGTTTGGTTTTAAGATGCATTTTGGTCGATTCCATAAGAAATGGTAATATGGATCTCAAACACAGCTCCTCGGACCACTTGTGATCGGATTTCAAGCAATGGGTGTCCAATCTGCTTAAAACATCCTAAATGCATGAGCACCTGCAGCACGGCTTTAGCTGATGCAGTATACTGTCACACCCTGCCTCTATACACGTGACTATCAATTATTCATAGTGAGAGAGAAATCAAGCGCCTGGGTTAACTTAACACCCAGACAGCCCCTGCCTGTAATCGCTTCAGACGGCCAGTGTATGACACTTATCCATTGAGAATGTGTGTGTGTAAGAGGATGTGACTGAAATGTGACTGTCACGGCTTTTTTATTTGTTTTGATGGCTTCATAGGACATTTGTTCTGCAATAGGCTGAGACCAAGTGTATACACTATGCAAATTCATTGAATCAGTGGGTTGCCTGCACTCTTAAAAATAGTCTTGTTTTATTGGCATGGATGGTTCCATGAGGAATCTTTAGCATTCATGAAATCTTTCCATTGAACAAAATGTTCTTTTATAGTGAAAAATTATGCTTTCGATTATTAAAGTGTTCTTTACAGTAAGACAAAAATGTCTCTTTTAAGAACTGTTCACAGAAAGTGAAATATATATATATATATATATATATATATATATATATATAAAATTAACTTTGCTGTCATTGAATAGTCATTTAGAGTTAATCTTTAAAAACACTAGTAATTTAATAACATGGTTTAATTTAATCTTCAGCAAATCTAAAAATTAATAAATTTTTCATACTGTAAATTATAATGTTGTGATGCATATTTATTTGTAGCAATTAAAATGTATGATTTTAGTTTTAAGTGGTTTATTATTTATTTATTTATACAAAGTAGCTTAATTTAATATCAACCATCAGTTTATCATTAAAATAATTATTAGTATTGCCCAGAATTTTTATGTTGGTGTAGCCCTAATTTAAACTAACAATTCTGTCAGCATGCAATTTAAAGCATTCATCTAGAAAAAAAAAAAAAAAACTAATCTTAAACTAGTTGACCATCATGATGACCCATCCCTATATTTAATTAAAGTCATTCTCACACTCATTTAGAAAAAAAAATATTCCAAAGTCTAAATTTATTCCACACACATTTAAAAAAATAATAATAATAATTGATATTCTTAGCACTCTTATTAAATATGACTTGTGCAAGCATGTGGTGGGGCACTTCAGGAATTGTCAGCTGTCAGACGATGGAGGGTCTGTCTTAAGCACAGTATTTGCTGACAAAACGCAGTGTGTCGTTACAAAGAGAAGCAAGTGCAGAGAGAATAGCTGCAGAGTTACAGACTCTTTCAGAAATCTGCACAGCTAGTCAGTCTGTTTTTTAGAGGCTTGGGAGCCCATATTCCTCAGCCTGGACTAGAGAAATTAAAAACACAATGCTTTTACAGTACAATAATAGATAGTAATAATAGATAATAGATAATAATAATAATAATAATAATAATAATAGATGCTCCTAAAGGAAAATTCCAGGTGAAATCCAACATGAAATAAAAATTTACCCTATTTACCTTTGTAGTTCACTCATTATTATGAAAAAATTGTTTTTTGTAAGAACTAAAATAGCGTGCTCTGTACTAAACCAACCATCTTTTTTTAGCTGATGTCATATAGTAAAATGGATTGTGAATGTTGTTCTCTGCTGATTACCATAGAAAATAATTTGGAACATAATGATAACAACAACAATAATAATAATAATAATAATAATATTCATAATAAAGTAACCCCCAAAAAAAGTCTCATAGAAAATTGTATTAATAATTGTATTAATTAATACAATTAATTTTATTTAATATGAAATATATATTTTTTTTAATTTAAGTGTATTCTTTACATGTTTACAGCCATTGTAAATGCATATTTATCCAAATTAGGGTGCAGAAATTACAAATTATTTTGTGTAGTATTTTACAGCACGTCACAGATTTTCTTTTTGGGTGAAGAACTTCCTTGTAAGATTGTGGGTGTTGCACTGGTCACTGGTCATTACATGGTATCCTTTATAGATTGTCAAAAGTGTATGTTTATCTGGTCATGTAACACTTCATTATGTTGCTAATATGTCGCCATATGTTTTACAATGTGATACCTTTAATGTCTATTATATTTATACAGTACATAAACTTTAGGTTGTAACCTCAAGGGTTTGGAATTATTATTCAATGCCTTCACAAAACGCTTTCTCAAATGTACTCTTTGCCTGTATTTGTTCATTTTCAGCAGAGCATGTATTACAGGAATTGGCTGGTTTTAGTGCAACCCTCTACACACACCTTGGCAATAGAATCGCCATTGGCTAGTAAATTTTTTAGTTTACTTGCCGGACTGATATCCTATTTTTATTTATTTATTTATTTATTTATTTATTTATTTATTTATATATATATATATATATCATGTTTGTAAAATGGCAAGAGCTTTTTAAATATCTAAAAGTACACTCTTAACATCAGTCAGTCAAGCGTTATAATATGACACAATAATCAAGCATTATTTAATGATAGAACTTTAGTTATAATTAAATTTTGGTAACCATGTATAAATGCATATTTGTCAGCTGGGGTCGACGGCTGCGCCGGCGCAACCAGCTCGCTTTTTTTCTGATCAGTGCGAAAGACACTAAAAGTACTGTCGATAATCTTTTTTTTTTCTTCTAAAAAATGCAAACATGTAAATCCATCTTGCTCACATATTATTGTAACAAAGTTTGTGCTGAACACAAAAAAAAATTAATGTTGGCCAATAGTATGTTATAAGTAGCTGAAATAAGCACAAATGTCAGGGCATGTCAAAACATCTCAAGGGCCCCAAAATCACCTCAGACCCCAGAGGGTTAAAATGTAGTTAACTGAAATGTGACACTGATGTATATTCATGATGATTTTGCTTACCATAATGATTTTAATGCACTTTTTATGTGGCTCTTAAGGATCAATTATTATAATTATTACTAATCATTAGACTATTAGCAATATTTTTATCCTTGAGAGCATTGGGACAGAGATGTTTTAATCTTTTTTTGTGGAAGAGTCTTTGTGTGGTATTTGTCACATATTAAAATGTTTTAGCCAAAATATTTGTAAATAAGTTAATAAATAGATATTATTAATAAAATATTATTATTAATAATAATAGATATTAATAATAATAAGTTAATAAAAATGTGGGTGAGTCCATCATAGTGTAAGTGTAACTGTTATTCAATGCTGCAACAAAGACTATATGATGCCTTTAAAAGCAACAGGCGAACAAATTATGAACATTCAGTTAAATAGCAACTTGTTAAGTGACAGTAGCCTATGTGATCACACAGCCAGACCCACCTGAGCGGCAGATATGCTACGATGCTTTGTTTATCTTGCTGTGTCTCGTGAGTGCAGAAAGTGTGAGTACTGAAAACACAGAATGGAGTTTAATTTATATGGACTCTGACTGAGCCAAGTGGAATAGATTTGAGGAAGCAGCAGCGCGGAAGTCAAGGCTGTAGATAAAATGCATAATGGAGGATAATTCATTAGGGCATTCCTCAAGTGGAATGGATTTGAGTGGCGGCGCTCTGAAAAGTGAACAGGCATATGCGCTGAATTAGAGATGGTAAAAGTAAGTGGGTCCAATATCATTGTTCTTAAAAAGGATTCCGTCGCCCATGCAAGTAGTTATTTTGGTGCATATAAGTGACAATTTTAGTGAAAAACAGTATGGAAACATGCCTAAACATAACCGACTGCATTTTGCTTCTTGCATTAAATTATTTTATATATTCATGATGATTATGCTTATCACAATGATTTAATGCACTTTTTATTTGGTTATTGAGCATCACTAGATTTAGTGATCTTCGTCTCAAGAGAATTAGGACAGAGATTTTTAAAAGCAATGAATTAAAACTCTTATTCAGTGTTTTTCATGTAAGAGTCTTTGTGTGGAATTGGCCATGTATTAAAATGCTTTAGTCAAAATATTTATAAATACTGACATTTAGATATAAATCATTACACTGGTGCATATAAATGACAATTTTGTGAAAACAGCATGGAGACATTATTTATTTAAAAAAAACTTTGAATTTTGCATCTTGAATTAAACATTTTTATATATTCATAATGATTTTAATGCATTTTTATTTGAATACTGAGCATCATTAGACTAAAGAAGAGATCTTTGTCTCAAGAGCATTTGGACAGAAAAAGCACAGAATCAAAATTATTCTGTTTTTTTTTTCTTTTTGCATAAGAAACTTTTTTGGCATTTGTCACGTACTGTATTAAAATGTTTTAGTCAAAATATTTGTAGATAAATAATGGCATTTACTGCATACATATAAACAGTTATGTTTATATGTATTGACAAAAAAAGTTTGACTGCAATTTGTTTCTTGCAATACAACTTTTAGCAATAATGGTTGTTTGGTCAAAATGATGGAAAAAAGCAAAAGTGACCCATTATAGAGCAAACACACAAACACTGACATGAAAACATCAAGATCTGCTTTAACTGTTTCGCCCAGACCTCCTCCTCCATCTGTTTTACAGCCTGGAGCCTTGAAAAATATGTACATCTACATATACTTCCCCAATACTCATATGAATATTTGAAGGTTTTATAGAAGCCTACCCCTTGTCTGGCAGACTGTGAAAAGTCCTTGGCCAACGTGCCAAAGAAAATGATGTTGATTGATGTATGTTCAGCGGTTCTCTGAAGGAGGTCCTCCTCTGAGAGAAAGAGAGAAAACAGCAAAGGACAGAGTGAGCCCAGCTATAGCTTTCATTTCAAGACTCAAAATCTGCAGGGCTGAGACCTAAAAATCACAGACACGAGTGAGTCTGAAGCATGCTTTGAAGAAGCTACTCCGGGCAATCAAATTGGCCCCATATTGTGCCTCTTTTCTCTAGATACATCAACAGCACTAAATTCAGTGGCCGTGTATTAGTTAACATTTTAATGGAGAAAATCCATGCAGTCTGGATAGCAGATTTTTCTATACAAATCTTTTCAAACCCAAAGCGACTGAGCTGCTTTAAACAGGAATGCGAAGTGTAAATGCCAGACAGATTGAGTGTCGTTGCTTACAAAACAGATCAGCTTGATACGTCGCAGGTTAGTTCGCGATCTTTGTCTTTGAATTTAAATTAAAATGGGGAAACTCACCTCTGATCTCTGCTCTAAGCATTTCGATGCCATCTTTCTGTGTGCAGGATATCGCAGGACCTTTGTGAACCACTCTAGCCTATCCAGAGGAAATAACTCATAAGAACTGAATAGCAATAGTTACAAATAATTACACCACTTCCTCAACATGCAACCTTAAGAAAATTCTAAATTTGTAAACTGATTTAATATCCTAAAATTTAAGCTGTTACATATAAAGATCTGTGAGGCTTGATAAGCTTGTCAAAACTATGATATACTTGTAGTTCATGCAGATGCGGTTCCACATGTAAATGCTGGCAGATAATCAACATCAGAAGACCATATTTTTTTTACTGATTAACAGCTGTCAGTTTTATGGTACCATTTGGAATATCACCCAACAACGATGGATCTTTTTTTTTTTTTGGAATAATTATTTAACTTTTTAAACACCAATGTATGAGATATGAGCAGCCTAACAATTAGACCAAACTAATTAAAAATGTATGTTATATATTTTCTATAATTGTATTATTATTATTATATATAATTTTAAATATTGTTTATTTTGATAATTTTATATTTTGTATGTCTAATAAATTTGTGACCATTTAGATCTCAATACAACTTGGCAAATTATTAGTATTAATAATATATTTAAACATATAATAATAATAATAATAATAATAAAATGCAATATCTGTGTATGCTCAT